AGACAGACAGACAGACAGACAGACAGATGATAGATAGCTAGATAGATAGATAGATAGATAGATAGATAGATAGATAGATAGAAGACAGAAGATAAATAGAAGGTAGATGATAGAAGAGAGAGAGAGAGAGAGAGATGGATTCTTATTTTAAAAAGGGGGGGTCTGTGGTATGAGCTTTACCAGAGATGGGGAACTGCATTACTTACTCTGAAGTAATATCCAAGACAGTTGGTATGTTAAGCTACGGTTTGCTTAACAACGGCTTGCTGACAATACCACATTTCTCTGAGTTCATACAACACATTAAGCTATAAAGTGATTGGCAAATCACCATTTGTCGGTTCACCCAGGACCCCAAATCAGCATCAAACATGCTTCATTATGGTTTAGCAGCATGTGAGTGAATTCAGCCAACGTCCTGTCCCATACAGTAGTATGTGGTGCATCAGCCCACCTGACCTGGTGCCTCTGAGATGGGTGGGGACTGCAACATGGCAGCCATTGGGGGGGAATGCCCACAACATGGCTTCAATGTTCCCCATGGAGCCCCCAGACCCCAAAGCCCATTTCCCTTTCCTTCAATGCTCACATCCAAAGGACGGTATAGGATACTCCCGGGGGGGAGCCATCAGGAGGCAACCACTTCACGAACAGACTGTAATCCTTTGACACAAAGGTAATGTTACGAGGTGGCTGGAGCTCTTCACCTGTCAAAAATTAAAGCCAGAGGTTTTCTTGCTTCTTGGGTCAAAAGGCTGGATTATACAGTCCAGTGGAGCATTTTGGGGACAGCAAGCTTGCCCACCCACCCCCAATTCACGCATGGTATAAACTAACGAGGAACTTTCCTCAGCCCTGCCTTTTGGAATGACACTTTCCTAGTTTGTGGGTGTAGAAGAAGGCAGAGGTGGCCTTGAAGAAGGTACGGGAGCTTAGCCCGGGAAAACAAGGAAGTGTGAGAAAGAAACTCAAGATTGCCCCACCTTGACTCTCTTTCGTATAAGAGGGAGGGGAGAGAAAACACTGTCTGGCTTTCAAGTTCCTGTTATGAGTCTCTATCAATAAAATTGAGTTCTAGTATTTTTCGTGGTGTTTCCTGACCTAGTCCAACTCAAAAAGCAGGAAGAGGACAAGTTGGCCAACAATGAGCACAAGATTGCCAGTGTGCAAATGATGTGACTTACGCACATGCCTCAGTTGTCTGGATACAAGCACAATTGTTTTTTGTGTGTGATGACAACACCATCCATGTCATTTCGACATGAACACAGTTTGTTATGGATGACTCTTTCCCCGTAACTGAGTTTCCCAATTTCAGCTGACCTGCCCCTGGCCCTTTCACCCCGGAGGCAATAAAACTTGCATCCAGGTATCCTCCTTCAGACTGTATTCAAGTGGCTGCATTCACACAACACACTGAACCTGGTCATTCAAGCAATCTAACTCCTGGATCCGTAAAAACCCTAAAGTAACCAAGGAGGTGGGGTTGCGCAATAGGCTAAGCCATAACAAGAAACAAATCAAAGTTAAAGCTAAACTAGCTTTGTGAGTTGCGTGAATGCAATTGCTTGGTTTTGTAAGTAGGAAGAGATCAAAACAGGCACACACCACTGGATGCTCTTCCTCTGAATCACACAGATTCCCTTTGGACAGAAAGTAAGTGTGTCAGGGAAGAAGTGTGCAACCCCTTCCTCTCACACAGTTGGGGGAAGAATTCTTGGTTGGGAGAAGCAGTTAGTTCTCAGAGACTCCACTACAGTCCAACCATCTGAACTGATACAGTCCAGAAGTGAACAAGCCCCCTTCGGACACCACCCCGAGTCTTATGACTGGGAAGTCTACAAATAGAGAAAATAAATCGTCTTTAAGGTACACAAAACTCAATACCATTTTCTTGACAGAAGTGTTTTGACATTGCCTTCTTTTCTGTTTAGTCCTGGGATCTCCTAGTGGTGTCTCATCCCTGTACTAACCAAGCCTGATTCTACTTAACTTTTTAAAGATCAGCCAAGGCTAGAGAGCCCGTTTGGTATAGTGGTTGAGGCACCAGGCTAGAAACGGGGAGACTGTGAGTCCTAGTCATGCCTGAGGCAGGAAACCAGCTGGGTGACTTTGGGCCAGTCCCTCTCTCTCAGCTCTAGGAAAGAGGCAATGGCAAATCACTTCTGAAATCATGCCAAGAAAATTGCAGGGACTAGTCCAGACAGTCACCAGGAGTCAACAGTGACTCAAAGGCACACAGAGACACAAAAAGTGGGCCAAGTTCTGCCACCCTGCTGGGCTTTATACATTATATACCAGTGTTTCTCAACCTTGGCAACTTTAAGATGTGTGGACTTCAACTCCCAGAATTCCCTGGCCAGCATAG